CTAGTACATGTTAGATGTAGCGAATACATAAGTACTACTTGTGACTTGAGAGTTTTCCCATATGAATACTTATGCAGGTCAAACGATAGAAATAATAGCGAACTTAAAACTCTTCTGGAGACACGTTTGAGGTTGTATTTAATCAAATTCCAGAATAAAACACTGTAATAACATTTTTTTTATGTAATTAGTACTATGCAGAGGAAATTTGGACTTTTGTTCATCAGCAATGAAGTATTGGTTTAGATTATTAATGTTTTAGTGAATGGGTTACCAAAAGGTGGTTAAGTTTTAAATGGTTCAAATTGTATAGGATTTGACGTTAAGTGATTCGTCTGACCAAGAAAAGTCTATGTTGAATCCTGATATCTGTCACTTTGTTTCATAGCTATTATTTATTAGTTTGTTTATTCATTTTCACATCTCAGTTGGAGTATGAACGCTATGAGATTCATGAGATAACATCATATTATTGTGTTATCTATGATTTGGGAACCTTACAACAGCAATACATTTCATGAATCACACGCAATGAAGTTTTGTGGAAAGTGGAGGAGGGTTTAAGTTCTTACTCCTAGGAACAAGCTTTATATCACATATTTTCATTGTCTCTTATTTTGCTAAGTTTTTCATTAAAATTGCGTTACTTAGTGGTGTTATTAAAGCCACTAGACATCGAAACTACAGGTTTATTCTGCCTAACATATTATATATTTCCTCCAGTGGGTCAGCAGTAAGTTTACGAACTTATAACGCAAAAATCCAGAGTTTGATTCCCTGTGGTGGACAGACCACCGAAATACTATTGAGTAGCTTTGTACTAACGAAAACTAAATCAACAAATATATTAAATATTTCAATTAGTTTTATACCTTAAAGTAATTTATTTAGTGAATTTAAAATATATAAAATACTATTGAGTAGCATTGTACTAACGAAAACTAAACCACCAAATCTATTAAATATTTCAATTAGTTTTATACCCTGAAGTAATTTATTTAGTGAATTTAAAATATATAAAATCTTGATATAAATATTCCTGTATTTTTAGTTTCTCGCCTTGCCAACAATTTTTCAGATAATTGATAATTAAATATTTAGTGGTAGTAATATTATTGAGAGATTTACTACAAGTGCTAGTTGCACCAGACCCATTGTCTTCCTGATTTCAAACGCCATAAAACCTGTCAATAATGGACTCCTAGCCACAGTAGTGTTGCGTATCTGCTCGTTTGTTAATTTCCAGTATAAATTCTTTCCGAGTAACTTCAACGATACAAGTCCTTTCTTAATTGAAACTAGTTTATTCTTTCTTGATACAACTTTGTAATACACAGAATTTCCGCCGTCACTTTAAACTTGACTACTTTTATGAACACACACACACTATAAATCACAGTGATTCATACACTTTACTTTGCTTGAGTCAATTATCTCTCATTATATCTATCTATCTATCTGCAATTCTATCTCCATTTTATTTTCCGGGCTTATATACTAAAAAAAAAAGACTAGAGTTGCCAGGAACAGTTATTATCCTTCTAGAAACTCCAGCGCGCATGCTTCCAGGGTCACGTGACTTCCGCTGT